ACACACAAGAGTCTACGCTGAGCTGTTCACGAGTACATACATAACACAGAGTGATAATAGGAGACTTCCTATTTTTAATCTGATTAACATTGTGACGCTAGCCCTGGATGCGAACCATTTGCCGCTAGGGGTCCATAGTTGGGAAACCCTGCGCCACCCGCCTAGTCGTCTCTGCTCTCATAGTCCCTGCCCACTACATTTCGGCTATACATACCCCTTTTCCATACGCCTCCTGCACGTGAGGGTGTGTACTTAAGTAGCCACGCCCCTCCCGTATCCTGTCCTGAAAGTCGAGACGGGTAACAATCTGTGAACTCACGTTCATGTATGACGGAACAGCTCGTCAATCATGACGTAACGGATGCGTCACGACGCGGTTAATTTGTTTCGTCGTCATGGACGCAACTCTCATCATCGCAATTAGGCGTAGCATCTCGGTCGCCAGGTGACGTATTACGAGTCGCACAACCCGCTGCAACGTGCACTTGGAGGCAAACTGTCCGCACTAGCGGCCTGACGGTGGCCATTCTCACCATGCGCTCGATGTTAGTCCACAGCCTAGTGATTCGGGGGAAGAATACTGCAACGCTTTTCAGCGGGCGCCAGAGCAGAGGTCCTCTCGACGGTCGCCCAGATGCGCCCCTGAAGAGCTCAGTCTTGACGAGGATTATCCAATCGCCGCTGTCGAGAGCGACAGGGGGAACCGAACCGCGAACTGCTTGCTCGCGGGTCGAAGTGGACGCACCGTATGCGCGTAGCCGTACTGTGTTTCCTGTCGTGGCCGGCACGTTTGAAAAACATATGCCGTAATGTGACGAAACGGGGATAGAGGAGAGAAAAAAAGAGATCAGGGGGGATAAGACAAAAGAGACAGTAAGAGAGATATGAAGAATGAGGAAGAAGAAAAGGAAGAGAGAGAGAGGAAAAGGGATAGATAAATGACATATGGTGAGTGATGGCGTTGTGTGTGGTGTGTGTGCAGTGCATTGCGTGGCGTACGTGTGTGTGTGTGTGTGTGTGTGTGTGTGTGTGTGTGAGCTAGGGAGAGAGAGAGAGAGAGAGGGTTAGGGAAAGAAACAGAATAATAGAAATTGTGTGAGAGCGAGAATAGAGCTAGAGGGAGAAGGGGTGAGAGCGCGCGTGCACGCACCGCCTTCCCGTTATGTGTGGGTGAGTGGTGCGTACCGGTTCTCGCTAAGGGTGGTTCTATTCTGTTCCTCCGAAGGTCAATTGGTCCGTTTGATAATTATACGAAAGGTTAGCAACAATTTAGACGCTTATACTACAGACATTCCTGTCAACTGAACATGTTCTCTAACTGCCGTAACCTAACACCAGGATAACCGCAATAGAAGAGACAAGTACGTTTTAAATCAACACGGCTGAGTAAAAATTAACCAAGATAGAACTGTTTTTTATATATAATCCGAGTTTCTCGTATTTTCTTTTCTATAATTTCTATATAGACGTTACGATTCTATATTTTAACGTAAGAACAAAACTGTAGACAGATTTCTTCGGACCAATAGACCTCCGGTATCAACTCGAACGGTGGGATGCAGGGAGCGATCGGGCGGGCGTACTGCGCATGCTCGCATGGGAGCCATCTGGTCATCGGGGTGTCACGCTCGCGCACTGTCACGACACCAGGGACAGTTGTCGCACGCGCCCGCGCGAAGCACACAGCGTCATATGGCGGGGACGAATACGATCCGAATTGCGTCCGGTAATGCGTTAACCGCTATATAAAAATCGAACGCATGACCATGTGATCCTTCACCGCAACCACCTGGTATATTACGCAACCACGTGATCCTTCACGTGACCACGTGGTATATTACGCAACCACGTGATCCTTCACGTGACCACGTGGTATATTACGCAACCACGTGATCCTTCACGTGACCACGTGATCCTGCAAGTGCGTATGCAGCGCGCGTGTATTGGCTGTTACAAATTACATGGGGCACGCGCGTTCTCACAGAAAAACAATTAATTGCGAACAATCTATAGAAACAGTAGTAATGATAGGGGTCTGGTATGAGCGGCGTGAGAGCTCGCTATATATGGTCATGGATACAACACTATCACTATATTTTAACTTTTCGAGAGGTATATCAAAATGTTCCTCATTGATACTGAAAACACGATTTCGTACTGCCAGTCCATTTTCATACCTTAGTAAAAATTTGGCTTATGGCCTAAGTTTGGACTGATGGTATTTTTTACTGGAACGTTTTTCAATAAAGTTGTCACATATAATATAGTAATGACGTCCTACCTCCATAAATAAATGTATCCGTCAGAACTGCAAGCTTTGCTTCCTAGAAAATAATACGGAGAATTCATTTTTGTTAATGAACCATGAGACATGAAGAGCTAATTAGGTTTGCACTACCATAAAATGAAAAAATGAAATTCATCAGAGATCACGCCTAAATTATTTATTGCCCTCAGTGTCCATTTCTCGGTGTTTCAGTCACGGGTTGCTAGGAACGCAGGTTCCGCAAACTGGGGTTTCAATGAGGCAAAATGTTCGGCTCCATATTGTTTTCACACATATAGAGCAATACGTACTGCGCATACCGCCTTACACTGCCTATGATTATTATCCGACGTATTACGTATAACGTACAGCTACACATAACGTACGTAACATTACCTATATCCGCATGAGAAGGATAATTACGTCATTATAGGATATTGTTTTCGGTTAAGCTCACCCAGTCTGTACGTGTTTTCGCGCATGCACGCTAAAATGTTGATTATGCGACGCTATGTTGATAAGCATTGCTTTTATATCACGCAACAGTTTTTGGCTAGAGCCACACGACGGTCACAGCAGGCGAATAGGTCAACTAATCTGTCAGAATCATTCGGTAAATAAATCCGGGATCCGCCGTAGATTTATGGGTTACGACCAAAACCGAGAAAGCTTTTACTGCTAATCTGATTGGCGAGATCCCAAATGTAAGAACTTCATTTTGCACAAATTACCTCAAATGTTTCCCACGCATTTCCGCTGCTGTACCAATGCCACGGGTACCAGAGTATGCTTCTCTTCTTTCTGTCCATGACTACTGGTCCGCCAGGATTAAACCAGATGGGGCCGTCGTCATAGTCGTTCTGGCTAAATCCGTAAGATCTGATGTCTTTCAGAACCTGTAGCAAGCGTTCACACATGTATACGCGAAGTTCAGTATTCCTACATGTACGTGTAGTTAACGAATTTCCACGTGCGCGCATGCGTGGGATTGTGCGTCCATGCATGCAGGATTCTATGCATGGGTTTGCATGTGTACACGCGCACAAATCTATAGACACGCATATATACACCGATATATTGACACACGTACACAATTCTACAGACACCTAGACACACTTCTATAGATACCACGACTCACTTCTATAGACACATAGACACTTCTCTGTGTGTATATATCTATATATAGATCAGGAGTAGATAATAGGGAATCCCTATTATCTACTCCTGATATAGATACATCTGTACAAGTTCTATAGGCACATATATACTTATATCCGAAAGGAACTAAGCACATGCATAAAGGCACCTATACGTGCATCTATAGACACATTGACACAGTTCTATAGACACATAGACACGGTCCTATAGACACATAGACATGGTTCTATAGACACATGGACACAGTTCTATAGACGCAGATATATTTATATCTGGAAACCTAAGCACAGGCCTATAGACACCTGCCCGTGCCTCTATAAACACACAGACAGGACTAAAACTAAGCACATATGCCTACAGACACCTACACATGCATCCATAAACACATAGACACGACTCTATAGGCGCACAAGTGAATAGGCACCGGTCAGGCGAGAATCTAGCAGCGGTCAAGGATGAAGAACGCTTACTCACCTGTCCCTTAGTGATGTCATTGCCACCGCGCAGCAGTTGCACCTTCTGGTCAACGGCGAGCACGCCTACGAACGAGTCCGGCGCCGTGTTGATGCGCAAATTCACCTTGTTACCAGGCTCTGCCTTCTTCTTGTCGAACGAGAGCGACACCTAGCGGCACAGAAGTGAGGGCGTGGGTTATTTTCGGGACGTGGGAGCACAGGCCCTTGGAGGCTCAAGTCTCAAGAGGAGTATAAGAGCGAAGAGGTGCTATAGCCCGCTTCGCTCTTATACTCTTCTTGAAACTTGAGCCTCCAAGGGCCTGTGATGGGATTAAGGCTATTTTAATTTTGGTTCCTGTGTTTAACCTATACTCTAAAGGTCAGGATGTGTGTTAATTTCGGAAACGTAGGATTAGACTATTTCAATTATGTGGTTCCTGTGTTTAAACTATAGTGAAGGTCAGGATGTGGGTTAATTTCAGGACGTGGGGTTAGACTATTTCAATTATGTGGTTCCTGTGTTTAAACTATAGTGAAGGTCATGAAAGGTTGTTATAGAAAAGCGCCATTTCATTGGCCGAGAAAAAGAATGGGGGTTGTTGTGTTAATTGTCGTACGTGTTGTCATAATATGCTATATCACATGTAATTAAGGCCGGAAAAGTTATTACTTCTTGCTAATCAAAAAGTATGCACTCGTATAAATTTACATATGAAATATACGTACGTCATTGATCCGTACATAAACTCGTTTATGCTTATATTACTGCATGGTTTATATCTCGATCAGTCGTGCGCGCGCAGTGGTGCGACAAGTTACGGACAGGGAAGCAGTCTGGCGTTTCGCGTAACCCATGTGCGCATGCGTGCGCGCGAGGAGCACGAACCTCGTTTTCGAATCCTCCTTTGACCTGGAAGTTGACAGCGTCAATGATGACCTCGCCGGAGCTGTGCACGTAGTAGACGATCATGCGCGAGCTCGGAGCCATGGCGCTCGTCACCGTCACTTCGAAGTCCTTAATGTCTCCATTCACCTCCATGTAACCGCTCGTGTCGATGTTGCCACGCGCCACCACCTGAAGAACATCGAGATACTAGATATGCGGTCCACCAGTGCAGTAGCAGCGCGTACGGGGAGACTAGACCGCCTACAATACATCCAGATGTCGTACATACCTCACAGATAACGCTCCCCTCACAAACCCTGTCTACAATACATCCAGACGTCGTACATACCTCACAGATAAAGCTCCCACTCACAAACCCTGTCTACAATACATCCAGACGTCGTACATACCTCACAGATAAAGCTCTCACTCACAAACCTTGCCTACAATACACCTAGACGTCGTACATACCTAACAGATAAACCTCCCCTCACAAACCCTGTCCACAATACATCCAGACGTCGTACATACCTTACAGCTAAGGCTCTCACTCACAAACCCTATCTACAATACATACGCCCAGACGTCATACATACCTGATAGCTGAAGCCGGTGATGTCTTCAGTGGATTCGAGAATGAAGCGCGCAGTATCCCCGGCCATCAGATCTCGGCTCACCAGCGACACCTGAAGGTAGGCTCCGGCAGCAGCCATGTACTCGTTGGCGTTGTGATATTCGTACTGCGAATCTCCGCCCGACTGCGTATACTTCGCCTACAGCAAACCAGCGCCGGGTGTGAACGCAGTGAGACACATAGCGTCGCCAAATCGACAATTATACGCACGCGAGTAAAATAACGTTCAAAAGTTGTCGAGTTTGACCGTCCTAGCAACAATATCAAGGGAGCGTGGTTATTTCAACGAGTAGGGCAAAATGTGGTAGCAAAATGTAGTAGCAAAATGTAATAGAAAAATGCAGGGCAAAATGTAGTAGCAAAATGTAGTAGCAAAATACAGTGGCAAAATGTAGTAGCAAAGTACAGTGGCAAAGTGTAGCAGCAAAATGTAGTAGCGCTGAATGTGGAATCTGTTTCTTGATGGTTTCCATGAACGTGAGCGCATAGGGACGCAGATTGAATGCATGTCACTCAAACGTATAGAGACGTGGATGGTGCTCATATCGTTTTCTGCTAAATTAACACTCATGCTTTTAGTCATGCTGGTAGTAATAATCTATTATTTCCAATAATCTATCCAACTTGAAGGAAAACAATACCTATAATATATACCAATACCTATATACCTATAATAGATAAAACCTTTCGCACCACATAATCTAGGTTTTATTATCCGAGATGGTTCCCCTCTGACACCGTTTGTTTTAGGTTCATGAGGTCATGATTTATACGTTACGGCATAGCTTACCCTGAGTTGCAGGCTGAGCGTCTTCGGCGGTAGTTCGGTTTCTATGACAACGCGTCCGTCGGCAGGGATCGTGTAGTTGGTTGTGGTCGTGTTGCGGATGCGTCTGCGTGCGTCCCAGCTACGCGCAAAACATACGTCAGAATACGTCACCGCCGCGCATGCGCATATGTGTAAGCGCATCGCTCATCTCACATGATGAACGTCGTCATGAATTCGCGACCGGTGTGGGTGGGGTGGGTGGGGGGAGCGATTGATGTGACTTACGTAGCCTAAGTCTAGCGCAGACCTGCGACATGCAACTCGACAGCGATTCTAGAATCGTGTAAAAATTGCTGTGAAATCGCTACGTCTGCGGGAACGTGCAACTGCAACCCGTAGCGATTCTGATCGCTTGCGACGAGTTGCAAGAAATCAAACTAGTTTGATTTTGAACGACTCGTCGCTCCCAATCGCTCTCAAATTGTTCTAGAATTGCTTCGAAATCACATGTGTGCGCACACGCGGCGACACATCGACCGATCGCTTGCGGTTGCAGGTTGCAGCGACGAGCAACCAAAAATTGCAGGTCTGCGCTAGGCTTTAAGCAACGAACATGTTCGACACATACGTGGAAACCGATATTGTTATACAGGAATGTACTGGCGAATCCGCCTGCCATTATTAATGTTATAGATACCGCGTCTATTTTTTATTAGATGCCAACCGACACGCATGCGCGTGGAAGCATTATAAGCAGCAGCGTAGCAAGAAGTATACGCATGCGTGCACGCACGCGCACGCGCACGCACACACGCACACCCACACACGAATACACGCAGGCGCACATGAACACAAGAATGCTCATGATCACGCACTCATGCACATGCACATACAAATGTACACACATACACGTACACACACACACGTATGTATGACAATGCGGTACTCGTGTATGGCAATGTCGTATTCATGTATGGCAATGTGACACACGTATATGGCAAGCGTGCTCAAACCTGCGCCATTCCGGGTCCGAGTCCGGGTTCTCCGTCTGCCAGGCTTGCTCAATCTCCACGACCTTAGAGTCGGACTCAAAGAGCGGACTGCCATCCTGCCGACTGAACAGCAGCTGCCGACAGAAAACATGTGACACCAGGTTACAACAGGTTACAACAGGTGACAACATGTGACAACAGGTGACAACAGGTGACAACAGGTGACAACAGGTGACAACAGGTTCTTTTTACTAACTCTCGCTTCTGACACTTCTGACATCTGCATTTAAGAGCCGCTCCTGTCGACCTGATACAGTTAACAGTGCCACGAACAGATCGTTTTTTCGACATGTCCATTCCTAGACCACGCCGTTGGAGACCGAGAGGCTCTTCCCACCATCCGACCAAACATCCAGCCCACTCTCTCTTCCCCCCCGCACGGTCCCGAATATCACGTGTACCGTACGCTATCCGAGCGAGGGTCGTAAGATTTGTGTCCCTAACTGTTGACGGATCGGACGCAACGCCGACCACGACCACGGACCCGGTCCGACGGACGGAACAATCATGCGACTTCTACAAGCTGCATCTGCGACTGACCGTCAGATGAGCTATTAATAAACAACGTCGCAGCAGACGGCGCAGACGAATTACCAGAGTGACGTATTCGAGTCCAGACTTGTAGTACTGCGGCCCTTCAAACTTCATGCGGACGGGGTGGTTATACTTGACGACGGAGGCAGATCCATTCAGCTTCACTCCCGTTAGCTCCTCTAGCACCGTAGCCTCGATCGTCAGCTTACGGCGGTCGCCATGAATGAAGTGGAAGTTGAAGGAGAAGTCGGCTTCTCCGTCGATCTGCGAATACGGGAGACGAAGACAAGGTAAGGGAGGGAGATTAGCGAGGAAGGGCATTGTAGGGAGAAGGCATGGTTAGAGAGTAAGCATTGTCACGCCGCCGCGGAGAGGAAGCCCATAGTGTAGAGATGCCAACGTCACGTGTTAGAGAGAGAAGTGCTACCTGCTACCCGCACGACGCGCAAGGCAGTTTCAGTACGAGGGTAACCGCACGCGTCTAGCAGGAGGAAGCGCCACGCTGCTTCAGCAGCATGGACACCGCACCAGTGTCTCAGCAGCACCGCGCAAGCCACGTCGCCTGTTAGAGAGGCAGACACGGTCTAGAAAGAGGAAGGCAGTGTTAGCGCGGGAGAGGAAGGGGCAGTGTTAGAGAGGAAGGCGTGTTAGAGAGGAAGGCAGTGTTCAAGAAATAACTGAGCCCAAACGTTACACAGGCGTGTAGAGACGGAAGACTCAGTGTTAGAGGAGGAATGTAGGGTTAGAGAGGTAAGAACAGTGTTAGCGCGGTGAAATGCTAAAATAAAAGTCTATCTTAGAGACAGAATGATCAAAGAGATTACTATGTGTTTAAACAGTAACGTAGAGTTCATGTGTTCTAAAAACTGTGGAAATGCACATGTTGTTGAACTTCTGAGCCGAAGGGCAGGGTAAGTGGCAATGTCTGTATCGGTATCTAAGATCTGTGAGAGCGAGAAAGAGGTATATGCCAGTGTTATTCAAGGATAATGGTGTTTCCTATGACTGCTTGTAGAAGAAAGTCTGTAAGAGGAAGGCAGTGTAGACAGAAAGGCAGTGTTACACTGCGATGAGTGAACGTTCGGTTATTGCCAAAAATGCAGTCAGAGTGAATAGTAAGGTCCATGTCTATAAACTGAGTAAGTGCAAATGCTTCATGTGTAGCCAAGGTAGCCACATCAGTGATATATCAGAAAGAAACCTACGTGTATAAGTAAGATAGCAGAGTATATTGAAGAATGAAAAGAGCAAAGCTTAGTTTTATAGACGAGTGCATGTTAAAGGACACATTGATAAAGTAGGACGTACAGCTCTGTCCATAGAGATGTAGAAGCAGCAGTCTCACGAGAGGATAGCTTTGTTAGCCGAGTGCGGACGAGTAAACCACAGTGTTAGAGAGGAGGCAGTGTTAGCCGCGGGAGAGAAGGCCAGTGTTCGAAGAGAAAGGCCAGTGTTACGCGCGGGAGATGACGTCATGTTAGAAGGAAGGCAGTGTTACCGCGGAGACCCGTACGCTATTGTAGAAAGGAGGAAGGCCAGTGTTTAAGAGAGGAAGCAAGTGTTAGAGAGGAAGCAGGTTTTATAGAGAAGCACAGTGTTACTACGAGAGCAGAAGTCATTGTTAGAGAGAAAGCAGGTAGCGCGGGGAATGGACAGGCCCAGTGTTAGAAGAGAAGGCATGTTAGCGCGGTGACAGACGCATGTCGACGAGGAAGGTCAGTGTTAGCGCGGGACGAGGAAGCAGTGTAGCGCGGAGAGGAAGGCCAGTGTATCGCGGAACGATGAAGGCAGTTGTTAGCAGAGAAGGCAGTGTAGAGAGGAGCAGTGTTACGCGGAAGAAGCAGTGTTAGCGCGGGAGAGGAAGGCAGTGTTAGCGCGGGAGAGGAAGGCAGTGTTAGCGCGGGAGAGGAAGGCAGTGTTAGAGAGAGAAGGCAGTGTTAGCGCGGGAGAGGAAGGCAGTGTTAGAGAGGAAGGCAGTGTTAGAGAGGAAGGCAGTGTTCTAGCGCGGGAAGAGGAAGCGCAGTGTACGCGCCGGGAGAGGCAAGGCCAGTTTAGACGAGAAAGCGCCATGTTAGAGAGGAGCAGTGTTAAGCGCTGGAGAGGAAGGCACTTGTTAGAGCGCGGGAGAAAGGCATGTAGCGCGGACGACGGAAAGGCATTTAGCCGGTGGGAAGTAAAGGCAGTGTTAGCGCGGGAGAGGAAGGCAGTGTTAGAGAGGAAGGCAGTGTTAGAGAGGAAGGCAGTGTTAGCGCGGGAGAGGAAGGCAGTGTTAGAGAGGAAGGCAGTGTTAGAGAGGAAGGCAGTGTTAGAGAGGAAGGCAGTGTTAGAGAGGAAGGCAGTGTTAGCGCGGGAGAGGAAGGTCAGGTTAGCCGCGGTGAGAGTAAGGCAGTGTAGCCGCGAAAGAGGAACAGTGTAGCGCGGGAGCGGATAGGAAGTTCACGCCACTGTTTACGTCTAGTCACCGTTTAGCAATTAATCGAGTAACCCGGTAACGTGTACGAGTAACGTGTAACTTACCGGATGTAACGGTAAACGATTACCATGTAACTGTAACGTTACCATTTCACGTGTAACGATACGCCAGTAATCGTGTAAAGTAGACTCGTCGTAACGGGTTAAAGTGGTATCGAGTAACCCGTGTAACGTGTAAAGTATATCGGTAACCGCTGTGTAAAACGTGGTATCGAGTAACACGTTAACTGTACAGTGTATCGAGTAACGTGTAACACGTGTATCATCAGTAGACGTGTAACGTATCATGTAACAGTGTAACAGTATCACTCGTTGTAAACGTGCTAACGTACTATGTAACTCCCGTTAAATATGATAGTAAACGTGTACGTTACCATATGTAACGTGTAAAGTATATAGTGGTTACGTGTAACGTTACCAGTACACGTGTAAAGTATAATGTGTAACCGTGTAACGTTACCGATGTAACGTCGTAATAGTATATTAGTTGTAACGTGTAACGTTACGCCCTGATGTAACCGTTAACAGTATACTCGTTTAACCGTGTAACCGTTGCCTAGCAACACGTGTAAAGTATATCGGTGTAATGTTGCCCATGTAACGTGTACATGTATAATCGTGCAACGTACAGCTAAGCCTCGTAAAATTATAATGCGCCATATTAAACCTGTGCAATCGTGGTAACGTAAATAGTTGTAACTATAACATACATCCGGTAGCGTATAGTGGTCACGTTACTCACTACAGCCATCGGTAAACGTACTAGTGTTAACCGTTAAAACCTCCATCGTGTACACGTAATTCTAGTGTTAACGTTATAACATCATCGGTACCGTATAGTTGTTCAACG